CACAGCAGGGCCCATCAGGGGGGTTGGGGCTCCGTACCCTGTCATACACAGAGCAGGGCCGATCAGGGGGTTGGGGAGCTCCCCCCAGTCACACACAGAGCAGGGCCCATGGGGGTGTTGGAGCACCGCACCCTGTCACACACAGAGCAGGGCCAATCAGGGGGTTAGGGAGCTCTCCCTTATCAGGCACAGAACAGGGCCAACCAGGGGTTTGGGGTGCCCTCCCCTGTCACGAACAGACCAGAGCGGTATGGAGGTTGTGGCCCTGCCTCCTGTCACACACAGAGCCACAGGGCAATCAGGGGGTTTGGGCACTGGACCCTGTCATGCTGCTCCAGAGGCCAAGAGGCCTTGTGTCTCCGCTAATCCCAGGGCAGGAGGCCACGCTGCTCCCCTGATCCCGGTGCTGGGAGGCCTCGCGGCTCCGCTTGACACAGGGAAAGTGAGGCCTCGCTGCTCCGCTGATCCCAGGTTCGGAAGGTCTCGCGGCTCCACTGATCCCTGTGCTGGGAGGCCTCACAGCTCTGCTGATCCCGGTGCTGGGAAGCATATTACCCTTTTACTATATAGGATAGAGGCCTGGTGCATGGGTGGGGTATGGCTGGTTTGCCCTGAAGTGTGTCCTGGATCAGGGTGGGGGTCCCACTGGGGTGCCTGGCCAGCCTGGGAGAGGGGATGATGGCTGTTTGCATCTGGTCACACCCCCTTCAGGGTGGGGGTCCCCACTGGGGTACCTGGACAGTCTGGGTGAGGGGCTGAGGACCGTTTTCAGGCTGGCGGGTGAATGAAGCTCCCAGCCGCTCCTTTTTTCCTTTTTTTTTTAATTCTGGGATTTATTTACCTTCTATGGCTGTCACTGGAGCTGAGAGCCGGCTTTAGCTCAGACCTTGGCTGCTGAAAGCAGGTTTCTGGGCTTTGTTTACTTTCTGTATTTGAAACTTTGTTGCGACTCCAGCTCTGAGATCCCGGCCGGCTGAAAGCAGGTTTCTGGGGTTTTGTTTAGCTTCTATATTTGTAACAATGTTTCTTAGAGAGCAGCTCAGAGCCTAGCAGTGGCAGGCCGGGAACGTTGTCTTCCTCCATCACTGGAGCAATCAAGCCTCCTGTTTGCATCAGTTGCCTGGCTGCTGGCCACCATCTTGGTTGGCAGTAAATTTGCATATCGCCCTGATTAGCCAATGGGAAGGGTAGCAAAATTATGGCGAATTACCATGTTTCTCTTTTATTAGATAGGATTGCAACTTTCAACTCCCTTAAAATGATTATGGAGTTCAGATAGGGTAGGTCAGCTAAGTAACTCCATCAGCCTTAGCAGATACAATGAACCAGGCATATGTTATAACTTTGTAAATTTTTTACTTGATAAATTTTGACATTGGTATATATCTGTGAAATCATTACCACGATAGAGAGTATGAACATGTCCATCATCTCCAAAAGTGAACCCAATTCTTTTATTTTTTTAAGAGTTTGGAAATGGTTTCTTTTTCTTTTTCTTTTTTTACATATATTTTTAATTTCAGAGAGTGAGGGAGATGGAGAGAGAGATAGAAACATCAATGATGAGAGAGAATCATTGATAAGCTG